ACTAGTGCTGCTAGGTCCACGCCCAGGATCCAAACCTGTGAACCCTGGGCCATTGAAGCAGAACACCCGAATTTAACCACTATGCCACCAGGCCAGCCCCCAGAAGCTTTTTAGTTTGATGCGCTTTATTTTTTCTTGTGTTGCCTGTGCTTTTGGTGTCACATACAAAACTTTATTGCCCAGACCAGTGTCAAGAAGTTTTTCCTTATTTCATCTTCTAATAATATTACAGTTTCAGGTCTTATGTTTAAGTCTTTAATCCATTTTAAGTTGAGTTTTGTAGTTAAGGGTCCAATTTCATTCCTCTGCATATGGATATTCGGTTTTCCCAATGCAATTTATTCAAGAGACTATCCTTTCCCCATTTTGTGTTCATGTCACTCTTGTCAAAGATCAGTTGACCATAGATGCATGGATTTATTTCTAGGGTCTTTATTCTGTCCATGGGTCTATGTGTTTGTCTTTATGCGAGTACCATATAGCTTTGCAGTATGTTTTGAAATCAGGAAGTGTGATATCTCCAGCTTTGTTATTCTTGCCCAAGATTGTTTTGGCTCATTGACGTCTTTGTGATTCCATATGAATTTAAGGATCATTTTTTCTATTTCTGTAAAGAATGCCATTGGTGTTTTGATAGGGATTGCATTGAATCTATAGATCACTTTGGGTAGTATGGACATTTTAACAATATTAAATCTTCCAATCCATGAACACAAGATGTCTTTCCATTTATCTGTGTCTTCTTTAATTTTCTTAATCAAAGTTAACTAAAGCAAATTAAATCTCATACTGTAGGATGTGAACCTCATTTAAAACTTGTAGTTTAATGGTTAAAAATAACTCTTGTTTCAAATAATGCATTAAATTAGGTTAACAAATAGGATAATCACCTTGTATCAGTTGAACAATCAAGTTACGTGTATTTGAAAATGACTTCTTTATACATACAGACCATAGAGTAGTACTGATTTACCAAGTGTGCTTTATTTCATTCAACTTATTTACATACACATGCACACTAACAGACCACAAAATATTCACTACGTTTTATCATAAATATCCATTTAATAAAAATACTGCAAGTATTATCATTTCCTAAATTCTCATTACTTCTCTAACTGTAGTAATATTTGGGGTTTTGTCTTTACTGATGGAAAGTTTGTATTATGGAATGTTTTCAAAGTTTCAAATTTCAAAGAGCAAAGAGTTCCAGACAGAAATTTCTCAGAAGCATAGTCATAAAGGGGCAATAGTTATAAAAGTCAATCCATTGACTCTCCAACGATCTCACATGCCTACAGTGACACTCAAAACCTTTTGATCCTTGGAATCATGCCATGAATAAGTTAGTGTTTTGACCAGACCCTACTCAACTGGACAGATTGACACTTGACTAGAATTTGAAGTCAACTTAGTTCACTCAGCATAGCACTCCATGGTCTTCAGTGAGTCTTCTTGCCTTTGCCCATCAGTCAAGCGTAGCACCTCGAGGACTAAACACAATGGAATAATGACAAACTTCCAGAAACTTGAACTGATTCCAGAAACGACCATATCTAGAGAAACTTTTAACCCTATCAAAGCCTACCATTAGCAGCAGAGAGTGAGGGCTCTTGTTAATCTGGGCATAGCCTGTTGTCCCCCAAAGCACAAAAAAGTTGAGACAAAATCCAGCTATGTTGTCTTAGGACAAAGCACAATGACAACCGATATGGAGTTGCAGGTGATTATGTTGTATGCTGTGTGGTGATGTAGTTATGAAGGACGTAGGCTCTGAAGAAGGTATCCCATTGCATATAGCAAGGCTAGTAAGGAATGTAGGAGGCCTGGCAAGGGAAAGGTAGACATCTTAAACTGGTACTAATAAGTCTCAATATCACAGAGACAAGAAGAGGGTGTGGTTTTAAAACGTATCTGAAAATTCATAGACAGTCTTCCTATCAAGCCATTAAGTCTAATTTCCCACCTCACTCCCTTTTGTATATGGACTGGCTTTAGTTAACAACCTCTAATAAAGAGACTGCAGCTGATGTGATGCTGTGTAACTTCTGAGGCTAAATTAGAAAAGGCAGTACAGCTTCCAGACGGGTCTCTCAGGATACTTGTCTTTGGAACAAAACTGCTATGGTGTTGGAAGCTCAATCCATATAGAGAGGCCATATGTAGGTGTTTCTGTTAGCCCTTGCTGAGGTCCCAACCATCAACTAACGTCAACCACCAGACATGTGAATAAGGAAGGCTTTGAGATGGTTCCAGCTCCAGCCATTGTCCAAGTGTAACATCATGAGAGGCTCCAAATAAAATCCGCCAAGCTGAGCTCTTTAGAACTCTTTCTTTAGAACTGTAAAAACATCATAATTAAAATTAATTATTGTTCTTGTTTTACACTACTAAGTATGGATCGGATTGTTAATCGGGAGGAGATAATTGAAACTATGGGACATATACAAGGGTAGTAGCCCTTAGAGAGACTTGTGAGAACATTCCTGCTGAAGCTAGCATGTTTCCCTCTTATCATTCAAGGATTAAGGCAAATCTCAGGTCTCTAAGAGAGACACTGAAATGAAATTCAGGTAAAAGAGTGTGAGACTGAAAATAATGGCCACCTGCTTTGTGTTTTGTTTCCAAAATATGAAGAGAAGTGATTTGTTGTAATTCAAGAAATGAGGAGTTAAAGAGTAAGAATTGTTCAATTTGTAAGAGTGTAACTTGACCATTTGTCATGAATATTCTAGGCACCTTGACAGGTATAGTCTTCCAGTATAGATAGGTATATCTATGTATAATACTATTATAGAAATAACCGCTTAATCATGTTTTGTTTATTAATTTGTATACTTACACTCCATGTTGTTCCAAAAAAAGATTTGAGGAAGCTTAAAAGAATATGTAAGATTGGAAAATAAATGATAAGTTTAAAGAAAATTGTGGCAAGAGAAAACAGAAAATTAAGAGTGAGGATAAAGCACACCCTTGAATTAGGCTAAAATGCACTCAGTTATGACTTCCATCTTGTAGGCCATAAATTTCTCACACCCAATATACAGTATTAAATTTAGACAATTACATAATCAAAAGGCTTACCAAATCAAACAAAATAATTACCCAAGAAAACTTACTCCTTGAACTACAAAAATGTGACATTTTTTTCTTGAGGAGAATATAAAAAAATAAGACATTATGCACTTATAATGAATATCTTTTCAATTATTAAGTTGACAAACTCCAGAGTATTTATTTTCTTTTGTTTTCTGTCTTTCTTTTGTTTTTCTTTCTTATGTTTAAATTGCGTAAGTGATACCTTTTTATTGAAGAAAATAGGAAATCATACAAATTAAAAGGTAAAAAAATACATCTTCATCTTCCCACCACCACCACCATTTGATCTGAAATGTCCCTGTTATCAAACAAGAAATTCTGCACAAGCTATTTACTTTTATTGAAATAATGACCAAAAGTTTTCCAAATTTGGTGAAAACTATAAACCTAAGAAACTCAACAAAATTGAAGCAAAAGAAACATAAAGAATACTACACCAATATACATCATGATCAAATTACTCAACACCAGTGATAAAGAGAAAATCTTGAAAGCAGACAGAGAATAAAGACAGGTTACATAAAGAGTAATAAATTTAGGGATGACAGCAGATATCATGTTGGGAACCATACAAGTGAGAACACAGCAGTGAGGAAGAAAAACTGTAAACCTAACATTCTACTACCACCAAGAATATCATTCAAAAATGAAGGCAAGATAAAGACTTTTTCAGATGTACAAAAGCTGAAATATTAATCACCAACAGACCTGCGCTATAAGAAATACATATATGATGTGGTATGCTTATGTGGATATGTCTGTCAGACTTTTGGGATATTAGTTGAAATAGAAATGAACTTGGAGAAGTTATTTAGCATTCTTCGACGTAGAGTTGACTGATGTCATAGTTGGCAAGGAGGTTGTATAAAATAATAAAGGAGGCACAGAGCCAGAAGCATGGAAAGCAAAGATGAGAGATGAGAGTTAAATTTGATGAGTGCCCAATGTACCAGACACCATGCAAGGTGTTTAACATATCTTATCTCATTTTCCTCTTACATTAGGCCTATAAGGTAGATATAATTATCCCTGTTTTATAGATGAGAAAACTAAAAATCTGAGACTTTATAAGTAAATTTCCTAAGAATATGCTGATTAAAAATGGCAGGAACAGGATTGGAATCCAAGATACACATCTCCAACATTAACTATCATATTAACATACTACACCATGCTGCTTAAATATCACTTTACCTGGAAAAAAATACTTGGCCCTTCTATCCAGCCACGCCTCTACCATGAATAGACTAGGTACTCCATTGCCGTAATCCTGTGCATTTCCTTTGTAATTCTTATCACAGCTGTAATTATTGATACAATTATTTGCCACCTCTGCTAGATTTTAAGTTCCATGAGCACCTGAGCCATAGAATAAGGGTGTCCTCTTCATAGTACCTGGTGCAGTGCTTTGCAAATATCAGGCACTTAGCACATCGTTTTTGAATGAATTGCTTCATCTCTACTGTTGCAAACAAAAAGGAACTAGTACCAGGATGGGGAAGAGGCTATCGAATTTACCAACTGGTAATCCCTTACAGTCACGTGATCTCACATGAACTGCCCTTCTCATTGAAAAGCTGCTACCTAGAAGAATGGCTCTGGTTAATAGTCTACTAGCTCTGTCCAAGAGAAATATAATATGAGCCTCATATGCAATTTTAAATTTTCTAGTAGTCCATCAAAAAGGAGAAAAAAAGGTGAGATTAATTTTAATAATACAATTTATTTAACCCAACAGATCTAAAATATTAACATTTCAACAGATAATTGATTTAAAATTATTTGGGATATTTTTACATTCTTTTATTTCCATACTAAGTCTTCAAAATCCATTGTATAATTTACACGTACAGCAGATCTCGATTTAAATTAGCTATCTTTCGGCATTTTCCAGCAAACCACAGGCTGTCTGCACATCTGGAACATGATGGGTCACCAGGACAAGTCTGCAGCCATGGAGGAGCCTGCATCTACCTGTTTTCCAAGCCAGCCTATTCTGGGGAAGCTCAAAAGAAATATGATGCCCCAGACTTCAGAGAAAAGACAAGGTCATTTAGCCAAGATGAAGCGGAGATATCGTGAAAGGTCTGCACTTCCTATAAGACTCACCAGCTGCATTTTCCAGAGGCCTGTCACAAAAATAACTTATCATCTTGGCAATCGGGTCAGGCGCAGTCAACCGAAGGAGACCTTGCAGAAGCCCCAGCAACTGTGTGCATCCAGGAGACTGCAGGGTCTCCAGGCTGGCAGCACTGAAAGACAACTTTTAAGTACTCTAGATATTAGAAATACTTTAAAAATAGCTGCACCTTGTAGTCCAGGTGAATCCCTGGGCCATCTCGGTGCTTGGTCTCTACACACCAGCCCCGAGCCCACCGCTGTACAGTCTTCAGACTGGGCGGAGATGATCCCAGAAGCAAGTCTCTGTCTCCCACAGTCGGAGTGCAGATGGTCAGTAACTGAAGGAGATATCTGCAGACAGAATCAGAATGTGAAATAAGCAAGGGAGAGAGTGGCTGAGGCTCTGAGGGCAGACAGGCTTGCCAGGGATGCAGAGAGAGCAAGGAGCCAAGAAGGATGTTCTGAGACTGGATGGAAATATGTTGGTTGCGCTGAAGAAACCAAGAGGTGTGGCCCTGGGGAGGTGGTTCCTGTGAGCAGCCCTCAGTTTCACTTGCCTCTTTTAATGTCAATCCTGCTTCTTGCTCTGGTCTGTGATGCTTTGTCATATTAAGCTGAACTTAACTAAACTTTTTTGAGACACAAAAATGTGAAGAGTAGAGGGTCTTGGTGAGATATCGGGTTTCATGTGACAAGAAAGATCTTTACTTGTCCTGGTACAGCATGATTTCTGTTTACCATGATTTATATTCACTTTTAGATTAAATTCTACAGAGGTAATTTATCCTGAGCAGTTATTTAGTATTTTTAGTTATAATATTTTCCTATAATATTTACATTTGGGCAAAGATGATGCCTACTGTAAAGAGCTAATTTTTTAACATTAAATTAATTTGATTCCATAAAAAAAAATAAATAAATTAGCCATATTTCAAGTGTTCAATACCCACGTGTGGCTAGTAGCTGCTTTTTTGGACAGTACAAGCCTTTACTTTCTTCACTTGGAGTTGGAAAATGGACAAATGAACACATGTTCCAATGACATAGATATATATATAGCACAATTTCTTTATCTAGTCAGCCATCACTGGAAACTTAGCTTACTTCCATGACTTAGCTACTGTCAATAATGCTTCAGTGAACATGGAGGTGCATCTATCTTTTTGAATTAGTGTTTCCATTTTTTTCAGATAAATACCTAGAAGTGGAATTGCTGGATCATATAGTGGTTCTATTTTTAGTTTTTTGAGGAGCCTCCATACTGTTTTCCATAGTGGTTGCACCAATTTACATTTCCACCAACAGTGCACAAGAGTTCCCTTTTCCCCACATCCATGCCAACACTTGTTATTTCTTGTCGTTTTGATGATCACCCTTCTAATGGGTGTGAGGTGATATCTCATTGTGGTTTTGATTTGCATTTCCCTGATCAGTGACGTGAAGCATCTTTTCATGTACCTATTGGCCATTTGTATGTTTTCTTTGGGAAATGTTTATTTAGATCACCTGCCCATTTTTCAATCAAATTGTTTATTTGCTATTCAGTTGTATGAGTTCTTTACATACTTTCAATATTAGCCCCTTGTCAGATATATGATTTGCAAATATTTCCTCCCATTCAGTCGGTTGCCTTTTCAATTTGTTGATGGTTTCCTTTGCTGTGCAGAAGCTTTTTAGCTTCATGTAGTCCCACTTGTTTGCTTTTACTTTTGTTGCCTTTGCTTTTGGTGTCAAATTCAAACATCGCCAAGACCTATGTCAAGGAGCTTACTGCCTATGTTTTTCTTCCAGGAGTTTTATGGTTTCAGGACTTACAATAAAGTCTTTAATCTATTATGAGTTAAGTTTTGTGTATGATGTAAGATAGTGGTCCAGTTTCATTCTTTTGCATATGATTCCCCAGGTTTCCAATACTATCTATTGAAGAGATTGTCCTTTTTCCGTTGTATATTCTTGGCTCCTGTGCCATAAATTAATTGGCCATATATGTGTGGGTTTATTTCTGGGCTTTCTATTCTGTTCCATTGATCTATGTCTCTGTTTTTCTGCCAATACCATGCTGTTTTGATTTATGTAGCTTTGTAATGTAGTTTGAAATCAGGAAATGTGATGCCTCCAACTTTGTTCTTCTTTCTCAAAATTGCTTTGGCTATTCGGTGTCTTTTGTGGTTCCATACAAATTTAGGATTGTTTGCTCTATTTGTGTGAAAAATGCTTTTGGAATTTTGATAGGGATTGCACTGAATCTGTAGATTGCTTTGGGTAGTATTTATTCAGACTTGTTTTGTGATCTAACATATGATCTATCCTGGAGAATGTTCCATGTGCACTTGAGAAAAATTTGCATTGTGTTGCTTTTTTATGGAATGTTCTGTGTATATCTGTTAAGTCCATCTGGTCTAACTGTCATTTAAGGCTGATGTTTCCTTATTGATTTTCTGTCTGGGTGATCTATCCATTGATGAAAGTGGGATATTAAAATCCCCTATTGTTATTGTATTGCTGTCTATTTCTCCCTTTAGGTTTGTTAATATTTGCCTTATATTTTTGGATGCTCATAAATTATATTTCTCAACTCCTGGGTCTGCTGCCTCTCACTGTGCCCTGGAGGTGGTAGCCATTGAAGAACTCTTTCTCCATTGGTTGCAGTCCCATTGTAGGACCCATGAGTGTAAATCCCACTGGCCACCAGAGCCAGGTGATGTAGAGGTGTCCTCTGGTGGCAGCTGCAGAAACCAGGGCACCAGACCCATGTAAAAGCTCCTCTCCAGGAGTTATTGGCACTCTGGAGCATGGCAGAAGGAGAGCACAAAGATGGTGCCTACGAGCTGGAAGGAGGGAGAGTATAGAGATGGCGCCCGCAGGGAAAGAAAAAAGAAAATCTAAGGAAAAAAAGCCTAGAGTTCTCTTCTTAAAAAAGATGGCATCTGCCAGCCAGAGCAAGACAGAAGGAGAGCCTAGAGATGGTGCCCACTGGGGAAAAAAAAAGCCTAGAGTTTAAAAAGAAAAAGAGTCACCCAAGGGCTGGACATGGCTGAGGGAGAGCACAATGATGGCAGCTGCCAATCTCCATCCCAGAGAGCACCCCAGCAGGCCCTCAAATGTGTGTCAAGTCAGATATCTGCCCTTCAGGCCAGTGCTCCAAGACAAACACGTGAGCCTCTCCCACACAGAGTCTGGGTGCCCCTAGATTGGCCGCCTCTGTGCTAGGCGCTGAGGCCAGTGAATCCCAGCACAGGAGGCCTTTAAGAGCCCTTTCTCTGATCTTTATAGTAGCCGTGTGAATCTCATGGACGCGAGCCCTGTTGGTTTTCAAAGCTAATGTTATTTTCACTCTGGTTGCTGTCTAGTCTACATTCCACAAGAAGATACTCACAAAATTAGGGATGCTGGTAATATAAGTGGCTTAAACATGAGTGGTAGAAATATTCCAAAGCAATCTGGCAAAATTCCTTTTCACTAGGTTTTCCTCTTTCTTATTAAGGAATTTTAAATCAACAACCAAGAAAGGCAGAAAAAAGGCAGAGGAAGGATTATCATATCTTCAAGATGGTTTTAAAGAAAAGAGAGAATAAATGCTAGAGCAGAATAAATGACTGGACTTCTCTTAATGTCCCTTTCAGCCCTGTTATTGGGAATCTTTTACTCCAGCATTATTTCTTCAGCACGCAGTGGGGAATGACCCAGTTGTTCAATGTGGAGCTATAGCCCCTCTGTCTTCTATCTGTCTTTTGAGCTTCCCCCAGTTCTGAGTAGGTGCTCGCTCTGCTGTTCTGCTTGGCCGTGAGAATTCCTTTTATCTTTACAATTCCCCTTCTCCTGGCTGACACACCAGCTCTTTCTTTCAATGAATTACTCCAGCGTGAGGTGGCCCAGCTGTGGCTCTGGGAATCAGCTGTTCATTCTCATCTAATAGGCATGAGTGAGTTTCTTTGATCCCTATACCCTTCTTTGGTAACCCCAGCAGCTGGAGCATGAAGTCTTGGATTACAAACCAGAGTCTTCAGCCCCTGTGCCCCCTCACTGGAGCAGTGGACAGAGACTGAAAGCACCAACTCAAGCATGAAAGAAATTAAATAACAAGAGAAGCAGGATAATTTTTTTAAGTTGAGGGAGATGCTATCTTCAATGACCAAATGCACATCAGTGTTACTTTAAAAAATGGATTTAATCACTTAAAAATATCACTATTAAATTTTCTAGGTGTCACAGAGAAGAAAGAACCTAGGTTAGAGTCAAACAAACTGAAGCTTGTCCGTGATCCCTTCAATAGAAGCTTTCCTTCTGCTGGCTCACTGTCTGTCCCCACCATCTAAGTGACAAGGGTGCAAATGAGGCAGCTGTGATCTGTAACTGCCCAGTAAGGGCTCAGTGATGCTATAAGAGAAGAAATGGTCCTGTACCTGTCACATGTTTACCGTCTGCCTTAGGGAGTCATATCTAATCATACTTCAAAAAAGTAAGAAGCACGTCACACTACAGTTCCCTTTACAGGTTGTTCTTTTACTTTCAGTGAACCCCTTAACCAGCTCCCTTGTAAGTAGATCGTCTCAATTCATAAATGTAAATTCTAGATTTTCAGATTCTGCAGCATTATTCACAATAGCCAAGATATGGAAACAATTCAAATGTCCATTGACAAATGAATAGAAAAAGAAAATGAGGTATATACATACGATGGAATATTATTCATCCTTAAAAAAGAAGGAAATCTCGCCTTTTGTGACAACGAGGATGAACCTGGAGGACGTTATGCTAAGTGAAATAACCCAGTCACAGAAGGAGGAATACTGCATGATTCCACTTATATGCGGTACCTGAAATAGTTAAACTCCTAGAGGCAGATAATAGAATGGTGGTTCTGAGGAGCCAGGGGAGATGGAGACTTGTTCAATTGGTATAAAGTTTCGTTTATGCAAATTGAATTAGTTCTAGAGATGTGCTGTACAGCATAGTGCGTACAGTCAACACTACTGTATTATATACTTAAAAATTTAAGACAGTAGATCTTAAGTTGTGTTCTTATCACCACAAAAAAAAGAAAGACGCAAGGGAACTTGTGATGGATATGTCTATTCCCTTGATTGTAGTGATGATATCAGAGGTGCTTGCGTATGTCCAGACTCATCAAATTGTACACCGTTAGTAAGTGCAGTTCTTAGTATATCAATTCTACCTCAATAAACCTGCTTTAAAAATTCAGCTCAGTGGAATTCTAACCTTCTTTTCTAGCTTTCTGTTTATGTGGGAAATTTGCAACTTTCTGGCAGATATCTTGAAATACAGAGTTAGCTAGGGACATGTGAGAAAATATTTGAGTGGCAACATATAGAGATTGTAAATATTTCTGCTTATTGTTCACATTTTATTTTTTCCCTTCCGTATTTTTTCCATAGGAAAAACCAGGGGAAAAGGCTTTCCATGGTGGAAAAGCATGACATTATTGCCATATGTGGAGCACTTAAAAGTTATGTCTTATCTAGAAAAACATGTTTGAAACATGAATAATGATGGGGAGGGAGTTGGAGAGGTTCATGGAAAGAAAAAAAGGAATGATGGAAGGGTGTCCTAAGCTGTCCTAAGCGCCATCATTTTGCTCGTATTAAAGATAAAATATAAGTAGCCAGATTTTTGTCTAGAAATCGCCTACATTTTTGCTATTGGATATGCTTTAGAAGTAGATGAAATTCATGAGGTGAATTATCATTGCAAATCCTGGATTTTTCATCCCTATCTCTACCTAAATTCTACACAGAATCCACTCTACTAAAAACTTTGGCATGCCAGAAATAAGATGTTAAAAAAGAAGAAAACTCTATATGTAGAATCTAAAAAACAAAACAAATGAACGAACAAAACAGATACAGAGAACAAACTAGTGATGACCAGAGGAGAGGAGGGTAGAGAAAGGGGCAAAATAGATGGAGGGAATCAATAAGTACAAACTTCCAGTCATAAAATAAATAAGTCACAGGGATGTAATATGCAGCATAGGGAATATAGTCAGTAATATTTCAATAACTCTGTATGGTGACAGATGGTAACTATACATATCATGGTGATCATTTTATAATGTACTGTATAAAAATATCGAAGCACTATGTGGTACCCCTGAAAGTAATACCATATTGTATGTCAATTATACTTCAATAAAATAAATAAAAATAAAAAAGAAGAAAACTCTTGCAGAAATCAACTATGTTATAA